TTTTCTAGTTTGGACTGAATAAAATCAAATTCATTTTTACATTTATTTTGTTTTTTTTCTAAATAAGTAAACAAAGACAATATTAAAAAAAAAATTTACAGTTGGTGGAGCCTTTTTTTAATGCCAAAGAAGACTTCAGCTGGAAATCATGGAATTAACGGCTTAACCAGCACAGTGGCAATTTCGTAATTAACCAAAAACCCAAATGGATCCTTCCACAGAAAACTGGCCCATCTTCTTCTTCGATTACTGCATCACCATCACTCTCTACTCTTCCAAACTCTTTCTCAGACTTGGCAATGACGGATTCAAAATCTCCGTCGACAGCAACGAAGCATCATTCACCGACGAAAGCAGAAGCCAAGGCAATCTCTTTACTGTACGCCACAGGGAGAACGATGGTGTTTGCTTATGGCGTCACATTTGCTTTTGTTGTTTGTACGGCTTTCTTGGTGCCAAACCCATCTTCCAGTTCCTCTCCTTGGATAAAAAACTTCCTCAAGTCGTCGTCTTCCAGTTCCCGGTTTTCCTCTCTTTTCTTTTCTTTTGTTTCTAATTCTTCCCAAACCGATGGCAACCCACTTCCTTTCACTCCGCCACCGGCCGCCGCTTTCCGGGTTTCTTGGGAAAGCAGCGGATTTAGTGACAAAAATGGGTCTTTGTCCAGTGATGGAGAAAGTGGAGTGTCGGAGGATGTTCGGGTATTCAATCAAACGGCTACTTTACTTTCACTCCGACTGTTTCTTTCTCTCAGCTTCAAGCCTGCTCGTTCCGTTAGCATTCGCCGGATCCTGGCTTCCATCTCTGACTTACCTCAGGGGAGCGAGCCATCTCCGTCAGCCAGAGGTGCGAGGTCGCCCTTGCCACAAGAATATCCCATATTTGAGGAAAATGAATCTTAATTTTCTGTGTTCTTTCTTATATAGTTTGAGAAAACAACACTTTTTTTCTTTTGAGTGTTGTAAAAGTACAAGATGGTGTGTATGTACCTATGTAGAATGATATATATAAAAACATGAACAATTAATTAGATTTTCCCCCTGGTAATCCATGGATTTTCTGCTACCATGTCCAACTTTGCTTAGGATCTGTAAAAATGAAAAAGCAAAAAAATAAAAAAATAAAAAAAATAAAATAAAATCTTACCACATGTTAATCTTTCTAACTTCAAATTTTGGGTTTTTTTCAAGGAAAGACTAGCACCTTTGCATAGAAGGCCTTGGAGCAAATCTTTGTGTTCAGGATCTAGTTCTTCTGGGAGTATTAGAGGGCTGTTCACAATCTGTTAAAAAAAAAGGGTAAAATTTGATAAATGCAGGGAAATTGTATTGTAGCAGAAAGATTTTATGGTAATACAAAGTCGTTACCTTGTTGTAAGTCTCTGGTAAGCTATCTGATAGAAAAGGATAGTAGCCTACTACCATGCAGTGCAGAGTAACGCCGACAGCCCATATATCACCTGCTTTTCCATTGTAAACTTTATCTGTTATCAACTACGCAGCATTAGTAGCCAGGTATTTGATACAGTGCTTTCAACAACATTTCGTTTGCTAGTGACAGAGCATGTCCCCGGATTGTGAATAAAATTGAAGTTTTAAGAGCCATCAGTCTCCCCCTACAGCCTGGAGAAGTAGTTACACATTTATGCCAATTTTGTATAACAGCTTTCATTACTTGATTAAAAAGAATAACAGAGCCAATCACCTCTTATTACTGCTTTTTAGGTTCAAGGAGTTTCATCACCCCAAGGACTCATCTTGCAAAATGAAATTCCAGTATTTATTTTCAGCTACCACAGGATCCCTCATCAACAATTCCAACCTATCCTCTTAATTTTATTTGATTATTTTTTTTCTTTTTTGAATTTAAAGGTCTGCTTAGATGGTTTGTTTGCCCCTTTTGTTTTTGTATAATCTAATTTGTAAGAACTTCTTTGAAGCTGAGATACTCTGTTGGCTTTAGTTCAACTAAAGTTTAATGCCCTTAATATTTGTTTCTATCACATTCTTCATTTTCTATTTTAATTGAATTCCCAATTTGTTTATTAAAAGCTTCCAGATTTAGACTAGGAGAGAAACATAAACCCTAATTTATAGTCAAATGCTCACGAGATGTATTGTAGGACTAAAATCATCAGTTTTGATATGACTCTTTTTTTGTGTTTCCTCACAAAAATGGAGGGTTGGAGATTTATATCGGCAATCAGGGTGATTTCTTTTCTCCCTTCCCCTGTTTCTTTATCTCCAGAAATCACAAAACTGGAAATCAGTTTTGTTTTATGTGACTAATTATATAATCTCATAGCATTTCAACTTTTCTTCAAGCGTTTGAGTTAAAAGTGCTGCTGATCCACATCAAAGGTAAGGTCTTGTTTTCTCTGTGCAGTGGGTATGTTTAAGTTATGTGCTAGGTCTGTTTATTTCAATGGAAACAACAATCAAAGCAAATCTCTTCTGCATGTTTTTGTTCCAAGTGACTCATTAGTAGATGATGATGATTTGTTTGGTTTCTAAAGACTAGCGTGGATAATCTAATAGCAGCCATGTCATTAAGGTAACAAGAGCAAGATGCAGAGCCATAAGATGATTTTTGATTTTGTTAGAGTAATTCCATCATATGCTTGATAACATTTTCTTGCTGCTGGTACTGCTATTTGAGTCATTTAAAGATGATGAATTATCAACTACTTCTTTTTAATAAATCTTTTTCGAGAATTTAAAATTAATGATCTAATAGTAGTTAATACAGTTATTAACCTTCACTTCTTTACTTTTATTTATAACAGTAGCATCATTTGCCAAATTTGCAGTGCAATATTTAAATAAACAGATGAGGTGGCTCCAATGGTCCTTGCCAAAGCCCAAAGGATAAACATGGATGATTAATTAAAATTAGAGAAACAGGACCATACTTTTTCTTTTGGCTGTAACTGGTCTATAGTTAGTTGTTCAGAGCCACACAGTTCATATTAAATTGGTGTGTTTAGATGGCTTGTTCTTTCGTTTTATATCGTGTACTAGTTTGTAATGAGTTGCTTTGAAATTGAAATGCAATTTGAATTCTGTAGGTTTTAAGTCAACCAATTTTGATGCAATCCATATAGGTTTCTTTCAAGTCTTCATTTTCAATTTTAATTGAATTTCGAATTCCCTTAGCAAAAGTTTTCGAAGTTACATTAGAGAAAAACATAAGAAATCCCGGTGTGGAAACCCTAATTCAGAAATTTAATATTAATATAAAGATCTTATCTTTAAATAATCGGAGAGTCAACAGTTGGGCATGTACGGATTTATATTATATGTTTTTTAAACAATGGAAATGTGAGGTACAAACATAAAATAAATAGAATTAAAAAATGGAGTGGGTTTTACGCAGGGACAGAGCTAATGAAGGACGGGGGGGGAGCCGCCGAAAAACATTTAATATGATACTCTAAGTTTTATTTATTAAAAATTTTGCTTTAATAGTATGAATTTCAAGATCTATTTCAAATGTAGAGAAAATATTTAGACTCTAAATAAAAGGTTTTCAAAAATTAAGAATATAATTCAAGTAAAATGAATTTATGTCAATTAATTAATTAATAATTAGGGTTTTAAAACATTTTTTGTCTATTAATCAAAAAAAAAACTTTGATTATCTATTTAAATAATTTTAAATTTGTAGTTTTCTTTAGAA